AGAAGAACAAATTTGATCTGTTAGTCTGTGAATTTGGTGAACAGTCGAGTGATTGGATCTAAAGCCAAATTGGGAATTAGGAATTATGTTGTGGGCATGTAATATTGGTCTTATCCTTATGAGTATAATTTTCTCAAACAATTTGGCGAGAGTTGGGAGTAAGCTGATAGGTCTATAGGAAGTAATCTCATTTTTTGATTTGTTGGGTTTAGGGATAACAGTTATTGTGGATATTTTCCATATTAATGGAAAATAAGAAATTCGCAGCATGGAATTAAAAATATAAGTTATTAGAACAATTGTTTTTTTTGGCAAATTTTTGAGGATTTTGTTAGTTATGAGGTCATGTCCTGGTGATTTCCCTTCTTTTAATTTATTTATTAAAAATTTGATTTCACTTGGTGAGGTATGTTTTGCAGGTAATGACATTGGAAGAGGACTATTGACAAAAATATTAACCTTTTCTAAGTGTTCGTGGTTGGGAAATACGTCAGTATGTGGTTTGAAAATGTTGGAAAAATGCTCTCCGAAAAGGTTGGCTTTTTCTTTGTCAGAGATGGCCAAGGATCCATTTGGGCCAGTTATAGGTGGAAGTTGTTGTTTTATGTTAAGTAAGCTTTTGGTAGTTTTCCAAAGTGAGCCATCTTTTGAGTTTAAGGACTGGTATTTTCTTTCGAAGAACTCAGTTTTGTGTTTTATTATTAATTTTTTAATAGTGTTCGTTAAGTGATTAAATATTTGTTTGTCGGAAGGATATCGATATTTCTGCCATCTGGAGCGTGCACGTCTTTTATCGGAAATCAACGTTTTAATATATAAAGGCAAAGTATGATTATTTGATTGATGTTTACTGGTTGGATATGACGCATTGTGGACGGCAGATTGTACAGAAGTTACGAGGTCTTGGGCAGCGTTTTCTATATCTATTTTTGATTTAAGGGAGATATTTAGATTAGTAGTGTTTTGCATAATTTCAGAGAATTCTTTCCAATTTACTGGGCCTTGTGATAAAGAAGGATGTATAAGATTAAGTTCTGGACTTTCATTTAATTTTAGAAGGACAGGAGTGTGGTCTGAGCTAAGGTCATTTAGGTTATTAATAGAGAATTTCATAGTTCTAGGTAGTGTTGAAAGAAAGAAATCTAATATATCAGGGTGTCTATTTTCGTGTTGGGGCCAGTAGGTAGGACCATTTGGCGATATGGATGTGTAATTGTTGTTGTTAATGATTTTTTGGAGTATTTTTCCTCTTGAGTTGTCGGATATGCAACCCCATTGGGAGTGTTTGGCATTAAAATCGCCCCCAGCCAAGAAGTTTGGCCCTAGGGATTTTAAAAAATCTTTTAGTTGTTTCGAAGTAATAGCAGGATGAGGGGGAAGGTAAACTGAAGATATTTTGATCGGTGTGTGATTTAATGTTATTTGGATATTAGTTGCCTGTATAGTAGGGGTTTGGTTAATAGGGAGTAACTGATGCTGGATTTTAGAGGAAATAATAATAGCAGATCCTGCATGAGCAGTATTGTCGGGGTGATCAGCTCTATAAACCTTAAAACCAGGGAAAAATAGTTTAGTGTTTGGTTTACAGTGGGTTTCAGAAATAAGTGCCAGATCGATTTGTTTTTCTGATAGTAAATTTAGCAGTTCGGAATCATGTTGTTTTAAACCGTTAGCATTCCAAAGCAATATCTTTAGTACGTTTATATTTGGTTGATTACTGACCATCTTTCATAAGTTTATTTATAACTGTTGTGAGTAGTGATATGAGAGGGTTAATTATTAATTTAAATTCAGAAATGAAGGAGGAAAGTTGAGTAGCTATATTAAACTCAGGTGGATTAATAGTTGTGTTTGGGGGTGTATTATTTGGAGCGTTTGAATGGAGATGTTGGTGGGTTAGGTTTGGAAAAGATGAGGTATTTTTAATATCAGGAGGATCCTGACGAGTTCTATAACCGGAGTCGTCCCCCCCTTTAACAATATTACTGTAATTTATATCTTTTATTGAATTATATTTTCTATTTGGAATTTTTTTACCATAGTGTAGTTTTTGAAGATCCTTGTGGATTTGGCATCCTCGGTAATTTGCGGTATGATTTCCTCCACAGAGAACACAAACTGGTGGCTGATCTTTGGTTTTCGTACAGGAAGAAGTTGTGTGGTAAGCGGCACAACGAACACATCTTGGGGGGTGTGCGCAGTATGATTTAGAATGACCATATTCTTGACAATTTGTACATTGTATAACAGTGCGTCTTTTGTATGGTTCTTCGATCCTTATTTTGGTATTTAGTAAGGAGTTAATATGAAAGACGTCCTTGTTGATTTCAGCGGGTTCCAAATCAATGAAAAATATTGGGAGTTTTTTTTTTGTAGTTTTGTTTAAAACATTGGAGACATTTCGGACTGTATATCCCCCAATTTCTTCAAGCGCTGAGCCTATTTCGGAGTGGAAGGGTGGAGATTACGAATGACTATTCGGAAGGGTTTGTCTTCTTGAGCTTGGTAGGTATGAAACTCAGCCTTATTTTCTTTTAGATATTTGATGACTGATCTATATGAGTCGGAGTTGGTAGTTTGGACTTTTAAGTTCTTGGTAGTTGCTTTAACAACAAAGTTATTGGCGCCGATTATATCGATTAAACATGTTCGAAGTGTGTGAAAATCTAATACTCCACGGATGAAAATAGGTGGAGGAGGTTTGATTTTTGTTTGTTCAATTTCCTCATTTAGGTCGTTGCCCGTCTGATCTATTTCGATATTTTCGTCTTCAGCATTATCGATGTCAAGTGGAGCAAATCTATTAGAGGAAGCAAAAACAGTTATGTGTTTTTTATTTTTCCCTGCTAATGATTCAGTTGATATCGGTTTAGATTTGTATTTAACCGTTTGAAATTCAGAGTCGTTTTTTGTTGATTTATTTTGATTTTTTTGATGTTTATTATTATTGGGTGATAGGCCCGGAGAGCCGAGTCGCTTAGTGCTATTAGGAGTAATAAGTCCATCAGTATGATCGGATAGATCTGAAGAAAGCGAAAGTCGATTTGGCACGCTCTGTATACGTGACGCTTTTATTGTTAACGGAGGTACTGTTTTGTTATTTTCGTTCATGGCGACAGGTAAATTTATCGCGCGATAGCAATAACTGGTTTAAGCGGACCGTCCGAGCGCGGCCGCGATGGCAGTATTAGCAATTAATAATATATTAATTAAATAAATTACCAAAAAGACAATGATGAGGCTCAGAGGTGATGTAGAAATGAGATGTTCAACTCGTTGGAAAGCAGGCACTTTTTCAAAAAGATTACTTTTTAATACGAGAAAAACGGTGAAAAATGTAACGAGATGTTTGATAATAACTAGATGAAATAACGGAGCACGATGTTGCATGGTCAACGATCAGGTTCGGAGTGGAAATAATTTATCTTACATATATTATAAAGTATAAATTATACATATAAATTAGATGCATACGGAAGTTAAAATACAATGGTCCGAAAAGTGTAGATGAACTAGAAAAAATGTTTAAGGTAATCTTTATCTAACGAAAAACTGACAGCCATTTCAATTTTAAATATTGAATACGAATTACTCAAATCCATTAATTGGTCAGATATAATAAAAAAATAAAATAAAATCAAGGAAAAAGATCATTTATAAAACCATGTTTTTTTTTACATTTTATTGTTATATTATTTTTTTTATGTATTTTGATAAATTATTGTTATTTGAGTCGCTAAATACAGAATGGACACAAGTCTAATATTTTATAAAAATCACTTTATTGCAAAATTAAATATGCAAATACCCATAAATATATGATCATGTGCAAACGAGACACATGTCCTATTATATAAGTAAAAAAAAAAAAATTATTATGAACAACTTCGTTAATTATGGCACTTGTCATCTGGACGTCTGAGCTTTTTGCCCTAAAAGTATTGTTGTCGAAAATTATATTGCAATATTACCATTGTCGCCATTTTTTTCCACAAAACATTGCATAACAAAATTATCTTGGAACTTCGGTAAGTACAATAGTTATAACAACTTCTTCTTATTGATAAATTATTTTGAGTAATGTAGCATGATAGTAACATGATTGAATATATGCTTTATATTGAATGATATAAAATTGCGCCCCGCATAAACATATATTTTACTGTCGACAAGGAAAATTGTAAATTTACAAAATGTCTTTGTCCAAGGGCGGCAGTAAAGTTTAATGCGGCACGAATTAAATTTAATAATTCATAGGGATAAAGGCGTTTCAGTCTAAGTACGATATAAGTTCTAATAAATAAGCAGAAAAATATTGTGTACGTGCATTGTTGAAATAATAACATGTTTTATGTAATTTTCATGTAAGTTATTTTACTCTATATTAGTTCCGTTATGACAACATACTCTTGTGGTGTCACAACGTTTTTCTTCGCTAGACTAGTGTTTTCGGTTCCCTACTCTGATGTATCGATGCAATTATTTAGATCACATCTCTATCTTTTCAGGTAAGTATATAGAGTTATGGCCCGTTCCTGACTTTGTTGTACAGGTGTATTTATGGCTGTATCCATGCGGTTATTAAGGGAAATAAAAATATTTATTAGACTAATAGTTGCAATTTGCATTTACTAATTGCAACTTGTTACTGTTCGCAATATTAGTAATGTCTCGCCAAAAGTGTCTACTAAGCAAGTGGGGACCCATTCTCATACTATAATATTCATTAGTTATTGAACATCGTTTGGACATGAAAATATGCTCTAGGGTATATTTTAAGCATATAAATATTGAAATTCACCCATAGAACCAGGTATAAAAAAATAAAAAATAAAATCCAAAAGTTAAATAGTGAACAATATGACGTATAATATCTCGTATATGACAAAAGAATAACATAAATATATAATATAACAATTAACAACAATCATTTAAAGTTTATCTTTATATAAAACAAAACATTGTTAATTAAATATATAAATGTTGAATTTTTTTTTCTATTATTTTTTATTCTTTACGTCTGTTATGAATTTTTCGACGATAACTTCTATTTTTTTTAGAACACCCTCTTTTACTTGGTCTGTGACTGTGTCATCATGCCAATTTTCCCACATACTATCCACTGCTTCTTTGTCTACGAGCACATCCGCACAGTCGACTTCTTCGAGAACCATCATAGCTTGTGTTGCAGTGGTTAATATTTTTCTTGCTTCGCCATCGTTGCCATCTATTATTAATTTTTCTGCATCTTCAACGGCATCAGAATAGAATGGATGCAATTTATATGGGTCGACTGTGCACAAATATGAAAAAACATTTTAAAAACAGTTATAATACCGTATAATTTATAAGTAAACTATGCCATGAAATAAAAATCGCTAGGATCATGGCCAAATTTGGTATTCTTTTTGAACGATATGACATTAAGCACGAATAAAATGTGCATTAAATATTTGTTCTTATTTACTCGATTCGCCAAGTCAAGTCTCGTAATTTTACTAAACATAAATAAATCAGGAAAAACCCCAAGATATTAAAATCCCCCCAAAAAAAAAATAAAAATCATTAATTATTCTGTAGACGGTAGAATGTATAATACAATACCAACAAAACATTTTGAAAGAACAATTGAGTGTTTCTTGATCACAAAATAGTTTGATCGGATGTTTTTAAATACATCATTCTAAATTTAAATTACTGTATGTATGTGTTCTAAATCTACTTTCTGCCTAATTTTTCGACCATGCTTACAGCAACTATTTTCAAAATTTATATTTTTTAAAGATAAAGTTTTTCTAAGTCTGACTGATAATTAAATAAATATAGGGTTCCAAAACCCGCAACCGAAAAAAAAAACAGGTAGATACAGAATGGAAATTGGATCAATTTAATTAACTTACTCTCCCCTTTTTGCGTATTATACAAAAATAAAACAAAATAATGATTTAGATACTTACATTCACCAGTTTCTTTTTTTTGTAAACAGTTATATAAATAAGGTTCAGTAAGTCTCAATCGAAGACTTGTCATCGGGCTATAACTGTTCAAATCGTCGTCAATGGCATCATCATCCAAGGGCCTAATGTTCCCCTCATCCTCGTCCTCCTCATCCTCGTCCTCATCATCCTCGCCCTCCACCCCCTCGTTGTCCGCCTCCTCGGAGGACTTATGACGCTTCGAGGGAGGCGTATCCGGGGAAGATGTCCTTGGGGGTGACGCAGCATGTAATGAAATCTGAAAGACGTACATACACAGTATTAGTACTATTAGTAGTATCATAGTTCTTGACGACTGTCTTGACAAATGCCAGTAGAGTTAAAGTTTTGCAGGTTCATTGAAGATAAGTCCAAGAAAATTGGGTACGACGTTATAGAGGTTCTGGGAACACTTGTTCCCATTGTCTAGTATAGTAACATGCCTAAATATGTAGTTTGCATGATGACAAAGATCACTGCAGTCGTTTTTAGTTACATTATGTTACGGACAATAAGTAAAATATTACTATTATTTCAACATTATGAATATATATATATATATGTTTCTATAAAAACAAAAGAGTAGATATTCGTATTTGTTATGTTTTATATAGAATGTTGCACTTACGATGAGACCAAAGGAAAAAATTACAAATAACATGACACAACGAAGACGCATGATTGAGTTCATGGTGAGAATACCTATAATAAAACAAAAATCAATAATATTTATTATTTTTCATCGACAAACATACTTAATAACGGTGCTATGAAATAATAAATCTTCAACGATCAACTCTGTATTACAAACTAATAGAAGAATAACTATAACTCAAAATACAAATAATGGACACCCATTTCACCCATAAAATGTAAGTATTTTTTTATTAATATTCAACTGATATGCACGCTTATAATGTTTATTCGACAATAACAAATCCACATAAATAATGTCCTGAGAATTACACGTTTCCGATAAACTGAGCAGTGTTGTTGCATAGAATCTTTTCAATAAAATTACATGGTACTAAATTTAGAGCTTACGATTACACTGGGTAGTTAAAATACCCGACTACTCGGTATTAAAACCCCAGGTATTCGGGTATTAACTAAAACTTGTTCTAATAGTTGTACTTATGTTTAAAAATATATTTTTTTCATTTAAATAATAAGCCTCGAAATCAACGGCCAACGTCTAAAATGTGTTTACGGTATTACTATTTTAACAGTAAGTTTTAAATATAATATTTATAATAAATTTTAAATATATACATAAATATCTATTATTTTTAATTTTAATACTAATTATATATTTTGGTATAGAAATTGTATTGCTGAGGAATGTAAATTAACTATTGATAACACATTATTTGGGTCCAAGTAGTACAGACATCGACATTCAAAATTAAAAACTGCCTTGTTTCCGCTTTACTAATTTCTTACTTTATAAGGAAAACAACAATTTGTCGCATTAATTAGTTAGCTCTGTATTGTCTTATGTTAAATCGGTAGCCGAATGTATCCGTTATAGTTTTAAATGCTTATTGTTGATTCCTAATCCTAAACAAAACCATTGTGTAGGGTGCTAACATCCTAAGAGTCCTATGTATCACGCATAATTTAATTATAATAGTAATTGACAGGATCAATAATTATTTAAAAATACCTACATATTTTCTGCAAATCTAGAGCTGAAAACGTAATATTTTTACAATAGTGTAGATTTTCCTATTTTTGTGTTTGGATTTTTTTTAATTTGTGATTTTAATTTTACTATAAAATAATGTATTTATAGGCTCGATTGATCTAGGAAACATTGCAATGTATAATCACCGTAAGGGAATCCTGCACAAGTGCACTCATTAAGAATAAGACACCCATTTTCTTCGAAAATAATCGCAATTTTTTTTTTTTAGAAAATGTCTTTATTACATTGAATACTTACAAATATACAAAATATATGCACAACAGTAAATGGGTAAACAGTAAAAAACAAAAATAATAATATAGCTTGAATAACATGCAGTAGGGGGACACCCAATGGAGCTACCTACTTTGAATTTTGAGTTTGTTTATCTAATATTTCTTTTTTGTTTGATTGCAATTTTATCGTTTTTCTTTTTGAAAACATTGCAGTTTTTGTTATTTTACAATATTATAAAATTACTAAATATTTACATGTTTTAGTAGGTATTTTTTAATTAAATGGGACCCGTGCATATTAGTTTAACTTTTTAAACTAAGAATAATTTTCTAAACATTTTGACTCGTCGATAACCGGTTTTGGATACCTAGTTACTTTTGATGTTACTAAAGTTAGAGCTATGCACGCAGATAAAAATAATATTACACTCTATCCTTTTTCCCGTTCTAAACTTTTAACTTTAAAAACCTTAAAATTATCTAAAACTAGCTATCGACGAGTCAAAATGTTCAGCAAATGATGCTTAGTTTAAAAAGTTAAATTAATATATACGTACGTTTTTATTTCAGTTTCAAAAGACATAAAAGCGTTAAAAAAAAATTAAAAAATATCAAAAATTAGAATAATTTTCAGTTTTCTACAATAACATAAACTTATGTATCTCCAAATAGAAAAACTACAAAATTGCAGTTTTTTTTAAGAGCGAATGTGTGTCTTTTCCTTATTGAATCACCCTGTATATATGCATTCGATTCATTGGTGTACATATCTTTGTATACGGCAAAACTTGTCAGTACAAAAATATGCAATATGCAAGTGCAACGAATAATTTTATAACATAGGTTGTCATCTATAATGACTATAATGGGTGTCGTTTTGATGATCAGATCACTCTGATAGTAAGTTATTATTAATAAATATTTAATAATCGCGTTAATGGACACTCGACCGGTCTAGTCGGCAACAGAATACGGCACGCTTCTAAAAGCTTACGGCGAAAAAGGATGTGAAAATATTCCTAAACCACGATGCCTTAACCAAGTTCGGTTGAGTGCAATACTCAAATTTTTTTTTAATTTTTATCTGCCCGCAACGCGCAGATAAAAATTAACAACACATTACTTCGACCCGAGACTTTAATAGTTCTAAAACTAATTGTTTTATTGATTAAAAGTTAATCGATCAATAAAATAATACAAAGCAAATTAAGTCTTAGTTTAAAACGCTATGAAATTACATGCAGTCAATGTATAAATTACGAACGCACTCTAAAACGTACCGTCAAAGAAAAGTAATTTTTAATAATACTTACTTGGTAGTGGTTTGATGAGCCGTATGGATTAAGTCATGTGTGAGAGAAACTCGAAAAACCACTAACACAGTGTACAGTGTTCGGTTTGACTTTATGTAGTTAGTTTTGTGACTCTCCTCCACCTGCCGCATTTTCTTAAGTTGCAAGTAACACCCGTTTTGCAACCGATTGTGTTTACATAGGATAACCAATAGGATTCTATTGTAAATGGTAAGACGGCTCTTCGCTACCCCCACTTGTTGTCTGGTTTGTCCAATGTGGTTCTAACACATATTTTTGTTAGCGCCCATTTTACCGTGAGCCGTGCATTGCAAATTATATTCAACTTGAAGAAACTATAGACTAGAATTATTAAAAAAAAAAATATTTAATTAATTAAGGTTTTATTTTATGCTCTGAATTTTCGTTGTACGTTATAAATGCGTGAACACTACACGGTTGGTAGTATTTTTTTTTTGCGTTTTATTTACCTTAAATTCGTATCGGTAGCAACGAACATATGAGTCATAATAATACACATAAAAAAGCTCCTTGATGGTAGATGTACTCAGATTTTCCGTACTATTAAATGCGTTGGTATATAAAATGCCTTGGAGTTTTATTATGTTAAACATACATTCGTTGTAGACACAAATGTGTTGTATACACCTTTGGGTAGAATTTACAGAAATGAGAATATTGTAAATACATTTATAATATATTATTATTTATATAATGTGAAAAAAAAACTATGAATTATCACGAATACATATGTTTTTTTGTATTGTATTGTATTTTATTCCATATTCCTACAATTGGTCTTAGAACACCTAAAAATGTCTACATCCGTTCATGAATAATATGTTACTATATTATTTTTATAATCAAAATTTAAAACCTTTATCGTTACTTTTCTAAATAATATTGTATATTCACTTTTTTCAACGGGAAAACGTATTGAAAACACGTTTTAAGTTGTATTATTTATTTAAAATAAGAAGACCACTTGTTTTGATTTGTTGTTTTGTATGCTTGTTCAAACAGTTACAGTCATACACATAATATGTCCTAAATATTCGAAAACAAAAACAACATCTTTTATCATCGACCTAGTTATATTATTTGAATGTGGAATTTCTTTTAGCGACCGGTATTAATGCGAACGTGACTTTTTGTGTGTTATAAAAAATAATAATAATCCAACTTATTAAAAGACTACGGCTCTTTTAAATTTGATCATAAACTTCAAAGTCCAATCAAATTCTAATTTACTAAAACACAAAAAATAGATTAACATAAATGTATAAATTTATTATTCATACAAGTTGCTATAGGATATTGCAAAATCGCCCCTCCCTAAATTCCTCTTACCGAAGGGGGAAAAATTACAATGACCTTGAAATAACATTGTATTACCAAAAAAAATTTGTTTTTTTTTTTATTATTCTAGAAAATTGTCAAAAAGTCGGGTTGGCCATGAATTTGTTAAGACCTCGAATTTGTCGATTCGTACATTTCAATTTATGTAAACAGTGGAAATGGGAACGCACATCGAACGACCCAAGTGTTTTTCTATAGTGAAAAAAATTGTATTTTCTATGTTAACATGAGTACATCGGTGTTTTCATACCTATACGAATGTAAAGTAAATAAGACGCAAAAAAAAAATTTACTAACCGTGTGTTGCTTATCGTTTAATATACCTAATATACTAGCACATTTCATACAACGAAAATGTAGCGCATAAACTAAAACCTCAAACATAATATTCGGTTTGAAAACCCAAATTTGGGCCTCTGGTAAAAGAAATCTGTACACGTTAGCCAAGAAGAAGGATTATTTTCTAACGTTAACGTTAACATTTTTCCAAAAAACAAAGCCAGTAGAGTTAGGTCGAGGCATAGTGGGTGGGGAAGGGAGGTCACAAGTACACAGGAATTATTATAACTGAAAGTGATAAAATCGTTTTGAAATGAACTCATCAATGCGAATCTATGGACGTATCGGTTCAAACCGGTACAGTCCAAACTAAGCATAGTAGTTGAACGTGTAAGTAGTACCTTGTAGGTAGTAGTAGTATTAAGTGAGTAAGTAAGATGGGTTTACAGATAAAAAAACAAATATCGAGAAAACCTAATGTACCAAATTACAATTGTTTGCTTGAAAATTAATTTTTAGTTTAAGGGTTGATACGATTAGGGTTGATCGTCTGTCTGTATGAATGTATTGCTATAGTAACCCATATATCGTTGTCAACAATGTAATTAAATATTTCCATTGCCTGTTTACTCATTTGCACACAGCAATGTGTGAGTAGTCATGGAAATTGACTACGGTCAAAGTGTATTTCCCCCTTATTTTGGAATTTTCCTTAATAAAGTAAAAGTTTGATCAAAGATTTTTTTGACAAAATTGTATATCCTTATTAAATTTCTAAAAAATTGCTTCGAAAAGTGAAATAGAGAAAAAAATTCTATATATTTCATTGGAAACGGTTTAAATTTAGTGGTCTTATAGTTTTAACATTTTAATGGAATAAAAAAAAAAAATTTTTGCACGACGTACATCGTCGGTTGTATTTTATGTTTCAGCTAAAGTTTATGTTAAAGTAATCAGTTTTTATTTACTTTTGAACTCGGTGTAACATTTGAAACACATGTGCTCTCTTTTCAATTTTAAATATTGAAGACGAATTACTCAAATCCATTAATTGGTCAGATATAACCATATTTTTTTTACATTTTATTGTTATATTATTTTTTTATGTATTTTGATAATCTATTGTTATTTCAATAGCTAATATATACAGAATGGACACATGTCTAATATTCTACAAAAAACACTTTATTGCATAATCAAATGTAATACCCGTAAATATATGATTCTGTGCAAACGAGACACATGCCCTACTATATAAGTAAAAAAAAAAAAAATTATTACGAACAATTTCGTTAATTATGGCACTTGTCATCTGGACGTCTGGGTTTTTGCCCTAAAAGAATTGTTATCGAAAATTATATTGCAGTATTACCATTGTCGCCATTTTTTTTCCACAAAACATTGCTTAAACAAAATTGTCTTGGAACTTCGGTAAGTACAATAGTTATAACAACTTCTTCTTATTGATAAATTATTTTGAGTAATGTAGCTTGATAGTAACATGATTGAATATATGCTTTATATTGAATGATATAAAATTGCGCCCCGCATAAACATATATTTTATTGTCGACAAGGAAAATTGTAAATGTACAAAATGTTTTTGTCCAATGGCGGCAGTATAGTTTAATGCGGCATGAATTAAATTTGATAATTCATAGGGATAATACCGTTTCAGCGTTTTTAAGGGAAATAAAAATATTTATTAGACTACTAGTTGCAAATTGCATTTACTAATTGCAACTTGTTACTTTTCGCAATATTAGTAATGTCTCGCCAAAAGTGTCTACTAATCAAGTGGGGACCCATTCTCATACTATAATATTCATTGAACATCGTTTGGACATGAAAATGTGCTCTAGGGTATGATTTTTAGCATATCAATATTGTAATTCACCCATAGAACCAGGTATAAAAAAAAAATGAAATCCAAAAGTTAAATAGTGAACAATATGACGTATAATATCTCGTATATGACAAAAGAATAACATAAATATATAATATAACAATTAACAACAATCATTTAAAGTTTATCTTTATATAAAACAAAACATTGTTAATTAAATATATAAATGTTGAATTTTTTTTTTCTATTAATTTTTATTCTTTACGTCTGTTATGAATTTTTCGACGATAACTTCTATTTTTTTTAGAATACCCTTGAACGGGCCGGGGGCGGACAATAATAGGCCACTTACCCGGTTACCAACTACTTTACACTTACCGATCAGTGCTGTGTGGGTAGTGGGGTAAATAGTCTCACTGGAAGTGTGAGGGATCGCCTACACAAGACCAGTGAGCTATGTGGTGCAAAAGTGTGTTTAGTGTGTATAGTGTGGATGTGTAGGAAACTTAAAACTATAACTAAAAACTAAATAAATAAAACTCAAACTCGATGATAATAACAATAATAATAATATTCAATAAAATGATATAACAAATGGTAATAAATAAATAATTAGCCTTTTTGGCTCAAGATACAATTGTGAATAAAATTCACAAACACAAATAAATAATTAGTATAAAAAAAAGATTGGTAAACTAAAAAGAAATTAATTGCCCTTTTGGCACAATAATAAATTAATCTGGTCTGTGAATAATAATTCACAAACACAAATAAATAATTAATATAGTAATGACTAGATTAAAAGGTAAGGTTAAGTGAGTGCTTAAAGCTTATGACGTTAAAAGTATTTTGATAACTAAGGTGGTTATTAGAACAACAAAAATTAATCACAAATACAAATATTGATTATTGACTAGATTGAACCCTTATGGCTAACTAGCAATATAGATGGTACGATTAACCTTATGTCTATCGCCCTAACTTGTATTTAGTAAATGAGATCAAAATATGTTCTAATAATTCACAGTAGTTAACTAAAATACAAATAAAACAAACTCAATAAAATATGGTATAAATAAAAAGTACTCACAAACCGAAGAACTGCAAACCGCTGGCCAGGGCTGCTACCTAAACCTAAATAATACTAGACACAAAGTAAAGTGAACAACAAAACAAAAATATTAAAATAGTTTTTTGTCCTTATGACAACTCAATAATGCCCTTATGGCTTAAAAATACAATAATAAACAATTTTTTGTCCTTATGACAACTCAATAATAAAAAATCACAGTGCCCTTATGGCTTAAAAATACTATAATAACACTTAAAACTAAAAAACACTGAAGAAAAACACACAAAAAAGTCTAGATTAATATTATACTTTAAAATTCAAGAATGCAACAAGTGCACTACTAACACTGATAATACGGGCGTGGCACATTTGTTTACATAGTATAACCCGGTGCGTATATGTGTGTGTGTGTGTGTGTGTGAACAGCTGACCGGTAGTAATGCCAGTATAGATCGTGCGGAGTAAGGCGGAGTGGTGTGGACGGCCGCG